AGTGTTTGAGATGCTGTGTTTTATTTAAAAGGCTGCATGTTTTGGATTGAGCTCAACGACTGTTGCAAAATGTCATGTTTTCATGAAAAAAGTTTATCTGGGACTACAAAGGCAAGAGGTAGCAGGAGAAATTGTGGTGTGTGCCTTGCCTCCAGACAAGGCAGCTTCTGTGGTAGGGCTGTAAATCCATCAGTGCAACTTCTGCAGCCAACACAACTTGTGAAATCCATCCCCATCTTCTCTGCAGTGAGACACAAACAGGGGCTCTAACTCCTAGGTGCATTTGGTATTTGAGGAAATATCCATGTAGGCTCTCCGATCCATCAGTCTTTTGCCTCGAGGCACACTTCCACTGCAAAGAGCTCTTCATGGCTCCAAGAAAAAGCTAGGGTGGAAGCTGTCCTTTTGTTAGTAGAATGAGAAATCTGCACTGAGTAGTGCTCCTCAGTGCTTCTTTGGTCCCTCTGTTTTACTCAGCTGTTATTAAAACCTCTATTCACCTCAGAAGTTAATCAGTGCTACAAAGTCCATGCTATCCCTGCCTTTGGGAAGCAGTAAGGTACATCACTGAAGAGATAGCACAATATGGGTGTGACTTTACACAAAAGTAAAATTCATGGGCACTTAGATGTATTTCTACTTAACTGATGAACTATCTAGTGCAGTGGCTTTTGTGCTGTTCACCATCCCTGTTGCTATCTCTCCTTCTTGTAAACATGAACTGCTCTGGCAGAACTAATAAGACATTAAATGTAAATAAAATCTTTCACCAAGGAGCATTCTTGGTTCTGTGTCCCAGTTTCAGAAACACACAAAACTAGGATTCAACAAAACTTTCCTAACCAAAAAAAGTACCAGGAGAGGGGCAGAAAAGCCACGTTTTCTTTTTCAAAACTCAGAATATGGGTAGTTGGTGTCTTTGTTCACTTTTATTCTGATCATCAGAGGTCGAGGGAAATCACACTTTTTCTTGAGTTCAGAAAAAGGTTTTATTTTTGTCATTTCTATTATGAGAAAACTGGGATGAATGTGATTTTGAGTTGGGCTTGAAAATAGCTTATAAGTTAAGTTTGGTTTTGCAGAACAAAATCTGATATTGTTGTGCATGAAGCATTCTTATTATCAAAATCATGAACTTGTATAGACTTGTATAAAAATCAGATTTAGCCTTCTTAATCTCTCCTGACAACCCAGGGTACCGGAACTTTTTGCCTTCTCTCTGAACCACAACTTGGTTGAGATTTTCAAAAGAGGGAAACAGGATTAAATTTGATTAAGGGTTGCAGTGGTTTTATGTAGGGTAAATTATTTTTATCCATCCTGATTTGACTTTGCATGAGAAAGTAAGCTGAGCTTGTACTTTAGCTGCCCGTTTTTTACAACAGTGACTCTCTGTAGAAAATTTATACAAATGACATGAAACTCTCCTTTATCAACTATCCAGTAAATTTTCATAAAACATTTCAGGTGTTTAACTTTGACCTCAATTTCTTATGAATATATTGGAGTAAAGTATAAATCAAAATTAGCCCCACACTTTTCTGTCATTACACAGCCTAAAGTCGCCCAGAAAACCCTCTGTGCATCTCTGTTTCCTTCAATTTAGATTGATTATGTCTTTATACTGGGGAGAGGACTTTCCTGATAAAAGAATGGCTTAATCTTTATTTGCCTAGAGCAGTTAGAAAAATAAGTGAAGCAAGCAGCCTCCTGTGACTGATTTCTGCTCACTTAAGGCAATTCACCCTTGAAACAGAATAATTGTTCTCCATCCTTTTCCAGATATTGTCTTCCCTTTCATGTATTACATCCAAATAATCTTTAAGATTTTGAACATTAGAGGAATACAGGGTGAATCAGAACCATGCACCAGGATAAATTTTGCCTACAGAGGCCTATCCAGAGATTGCATAAAAGACAGTGGAAGCCATGCACACATCCAGAAGTAACATTTGGTCCATAGCCTCCCTGAATTCTGATTAAAAAAAAAAGAGAGAAAGAAAAAAAGATAACTTTTATTTCAAGCAACAAGATAATAATGTGTGGTCTTTGATCAAACTACTGGGTGTCAACAATATGATAATACTTAGAATTGTACATTGATAGGAATTTACTCCCTAGAGGGTACTCTTCTGGACAAGAAACATAGGTGTGCCTGCAGAAATTCCCATCCTGAGGTACCTTTAGCCTCTGTACCTCAGTTTTGTGTGGATATGGTAACAAATGTTTTCCTTTCAGCACCCACACACAAGGTGGACCACTTTATTTAGCTCTATTTTTAAAAACAACATTTCTTTATTTCCTGCAGCTGGTCAAGTGGTTGGCAATGACCAGCAAGTGATATGCTTTGTTTTATTCAGAAGCAACCTAAAAAACCAAATCTTTTTTCGCTAGATTAGGTCTAGTCATAATATTCTTACCATATCAGGCTGAGCTTGAAACTGAAACAACTAGAAATCCTAAATTTAATAATCCCTATTGTAAATATTTCTCTATAATTGGATTTAAATTAAATTATTGTTACTCCAGTAACGAAACTGTAGCAAGAATGGGTACAGTAATTCACCCTGAAACTTTCTTTTTTAGTGACTTCTTCCTCAGAGCTGCATCTTAAAAATTCTTTTCTGACACTGGAACTGAGGACACAGTGTGATACTGCAAACTCCATCTTAAGAACTTCCTTTGAACTGCAAAAGTTCATCAAGCAATTGTTCTTAATTTTAGGGTTGAAGAATGATACAAAGCAAAAGTAAATTTTCCTGCAAGAAAAAAAAAAAAATTACTAACAATTTGGAGAGTAATGCTTTTACAGAGCTATCCTTAGCAAATGAAGGCTGAATGCCTAGAACTATATTTGCTGAAAATGCATAATTAAAACTACAAATAACAAGCTGTTCAGAAAGATTTGGTTGTGGTCCTTCAAAAGCTGTAATTATATATCCTGCAATACATATAGCTGCTTCATAGTTTAATTCTTTGTGCTCTATCTGAAGATGCAGCAGTTATGCATTTCCCAGGAGGGCTCTTCCAGTGCCTCCACTGGAAGAGAGATCAGGAAGAGATCTACTTTCATAGGCTGGGGACTGACCCAAAGCTGTAAACTGTAAATACCAAGATGGAGCACAAACTGCTGACTTTATAAAAATCATGGATATTTTATAAGGATAAGGATTTCAGTTGTGCTCTTCCTTTATTTCATCATACCCACGGTGTTGGACAAATTTATGCCAGACAAATTTGTGTCAGCTAAAGTTTTCTCTGCAGATGATTTGCAATGTGTGTGTTTTCTATAAATTTTCACTGGAAACTTCTTACAGCTGAAAGTTGCTTCATCATGCAAGGTTCTTTCAAATGCTCATTAACAGTGAGTTAGGATGGAACAATTCTTTATCAGCTGACCCTGAGGAGGTGTTTGTAAAAGAAATCACTGTTTCATGCACCAGGAGACACTGAGTTGTATAATAATGAGAGAAAAGATGAAGTTAAATAGTCACCTCTTCAGGAGTCTAGACCTGTAAAATAATGTGTTTGTTCATAAAACCCTGAGCAGACTAGATACAGGTGTTTTTAATCTTAGATTATAATACAAATCCAGTGTCTGTTTTTTTAAGAGTCCTGAATCAACTGCTTTTGACTTCTCAGTCCCTCTGCAGTAAAACCTATGACATCTCTATAAGGGACAGTTGGTTGAGGGCATCACCTGCTAAACTCCCAAGTTGTACCAGTCCTTGTGACTGTGCTATTTGTGGTTCTTCCTTTTGCCAGTATTTCCTTGACACAGACTTTCTAAAATACTATGTCCTGTTTAAAAGAAATTATTTAATAAGTAGACATGAGTGGGTGTATAGTTCAAAAGTGCAGCTTGCTAGCACCCCATCCTTTCTTAGCCTCTGCAGTTAGAAGTGAGATGTAGTTTTACTGTGACACACTGTGAGAATCTGTATCTCATTGTTGCTTAGATCATGGATGGGCAACAATGGCTTTTTTCAAAGTTTCACAGACTAGAAAACTTAAAGTAGCTCCTTTTAATTGAAACCCAGACATACTTTTAGGTAAAAACAAAACTGAGCTGGCTTGAGTTTTTCCCAAGCCAAACAAAAGAGATTGGAACTTTCCATTGTTTTTGTCTGCCAACCATGCATTGTTAAAGGAATCGAAATAAAGAGGGAAAGGGGTCAAGGGTTATAGAGCTCATATTTCCACTCTACATGACCCCATCTCAGCAATAGTGGGACCCTCGTGATCAGTTCCTGTTGGTCTAACGGAACAGCCATTTCTTAAGAAAAGGAATTACTGCGTACAGTACCTTTGTGACTAACAGAAGAATACCCCAGCTCTTCAAAGGTCCTTTCATTACAGCCTCTGAAGAGGACTCTGACATTACTTTCTTGAGATTATAATGAAAACAGCTGTACTTGTACCAATTCCCCTTTTTATTATTTTTTGTAACAAAACAAGATTGATGTTATGCCACTTTCTGTTCTGTCATGAGAATAAGGTATCACAAATGCTAGTAACTACCACAGTAGCAATATGCACTACTTTGATCTTTTCACTATTCTTTAATTTGGGCAGCTGGCCACTGAATTCCTTCCTCAAAATCTGCTTAAAAGCAAAAAAATCTGCTGCCTAAAAGCAAAGGGAAAAATGGCCAACAAAATCAAATGTGCATATTTAAAACCATTAATCTGACTAGTCCAATTCAAAGCCTACATGACTAATCCAAATACCATACTTTGATTTTGTGATTCTAGGCACTGAAATCTTAATACACAATCTTCTGACGATAGATTGTGGCAGAACAAGAAATACCACAAACAACCAATTCTCATTCAAATCTAAAGTTTGTAATCCCTTCATTCTTATTGGTTGCTTTGCCAAAGACTTCTTAAGAGATTATTGAGCTTATTAATGAAAATCCAAAAGATATTTTAAGTGATTTTTTTTCTCTTTATAAGACAGTAAAATTAAACATGCTGTGGTTGTTATTTTTTTTCCAGTGTCAAAGGCAATGCAAGAAGGCAGGATCTGGCAACAGCAGCTGTCAAGATTCCAAACCCAAAAAATGCAAGCACCTACTGTCCAAATTATTGTTGTACTGGTAGAAACAGGATAGTAGCCTTTGGTGTTTCTGCTAATAAGCCAGAATAGAACTGTGTATTGGCAGTTGAATTTCTTTCTCAGTAACTCAGCTTTTCACAGTGAATCAGAAGTACAATTTTTCTATTCTCTGCATTTCAGTTTGGTCCCAGTTCTATCTTCATGACAAGCGCTGTTATCCTCTTGCTTACATGAATACCACAACAAAAATGATGTGCTCAGAATTTGCCAGTAAAGCTCTCTAAATGAGAATTTTGGGACCTCACTTCCAACCAACAGCAATAATTTAGATACTTAAGTTCTTTCCTGTAAGTCACAGTACAACGTTTCCAAGAGCTGAAAGAAGTGACTCATGGAAAATTCAGAATCAGCCGAAGACATAATTTTATTGCATAAATGTTTTTGAAAATATGACTGTTCTGTTCCTTAGCAAATGAAAGGTAATAATTTCAGAAAATTTAAAATTTAGCAAAATTTGTATGAAATGGAGTGAGAAGAAAAAAGTTTAACAAATACAGTCCCCAAAGCAATAACATCATGAGAGAACATCTACATGTCCAAGTTAATTCACTGTTTGGAGAGTTTTTATTTTTGGTTTCATTTCAAACAGAAACCTTAAAGTGATAAGTAAGGAAGCAACAGAGAAATCTGAATTGTTATGTTTGTGAGTTACTGGGAGATGAGATACTGCTTAGAGAAAAAGGAGCCTCCTGAAGTGCTCAAAAAGATGACAACATTATATATGCTATAAAATGAGATTATAAAGTGGAATAAAAAGTTTAGGATGCACAAAATGAGAGGCATGAAATGAGGAGATTATCTATCTATCTATCTATCTATCTATCTATCTATCTATCTATCTATCTATCTATCTATCTATCTATCCATCTATCTATCTATCTATCTATCTATCTAATCTATCGTATTTATAGAGAGAAAACCAGTCAGGACAGGAGATGTATTGCAATACATTGCAACTGATTTGATTGCATGTATGCTTATGGCTATGTATATGTTTAGACACACATAACAAGGCACATCTTGCGCGTTTGTGAACAGGCTGGAGCAGTTTTGTTTACACTGATGTAGTAGCAACTGTGGTCATTCTGCATGGGTATTCTGAGTGCAGCTTCAGTTTGGAAGGGGAAGGAGGGAATGCAGCAGGGTGAATGGAGCTTTGCAAGCAAGCTGTTACAGGAATTGATTTGTGGTGTATTACAGGGCTATTCATTACTCCTTTACAATTTCTCTGCACATGACATAGTTTTTGTCTACTAATATAGCTTTGAGTGTGCATACTTACTTTTGCCTGAGCACAATTTTGTGCTTTAGGCCTGGTTTTGCTGCATAAACAATTCCTGACAGTGCTTTGGTTGTGCAGCAGAGTATCTGCTTGGCTGGGTATGTTTGACATACAGAGCAGATGGTTATGACTGTGAAAGCCTTCCAGAGGCCACACACCACTGGGCATCTATACTGAATTGTGCAGCTGTTTTCCAGGGCTTGAAGTGAAAGAAAACCAGCAAAATGAGGAAGGAACATTATTATACAGACTGGAAATCACCACAATCATTCTACAAATGCAACCTAATGAATTAGGTGTGGTGCTCCTTTTCATTCCAGTAACAGTAAATTCAATTCATGGAGCTATTCTCACTAACAAATTTATTGAAATTGTGATCTGGAGACCTCCAACTTCACATTTTATATTGGTGATTTAAGCTTGGAAACTCTTCCATGAACTTCAGAGATTAGTACCTCAGTACAGATTTTGTACTGATAACTCTTTAGAGTCAGCAACCTCTTTTTAGGAGAGAATATAAATGTATGATTTATGTCCCAAAATATGCTCTGAAATCTGCAACAGGCTATTCATTATACTTTGTAGCTATACCTATATCAATTGTACTGGAGCAATGGCAGCTGGCAAAAACTAAGTATAGAAATAGACAAAACAATGGCTGCAATAGAAGCAGAGAAACATATTGCATGAGTAAGGAATATTGCACAGAACGGGATAGATGTGGGGCAATAATTCAAAAGTTGAACAGGATAAGAGCCATCCTGTACAGAGTAATATCTGCATAGTGTGCCCATGAGTAGAAGAAAGCCAGGGGAAGAGAGCTTCACATTTGAACTCAGAGAATGTTTCAAATAGTAGCCAGTAGGAAAAAGGAGGTAATATAGAAAAAGGGCATTAGTGGGACCACTCTCAAAGCCAATGATTGACTGAAAGGGACAGATATAATGACAGCAGAGCATTAAAGACAAGAATGGCAGAGAATCAGAAAATTCTTAGTTACCTTAGACTGCAAAGTAAAAAGACACATACAGGACCTGTCTGATCATTTGAGCATTTGAGAACACATTTCATACTAACCCTCTTTTTTCTTTTTCCCTCTTTACTAATGGCTTTTTCGTACAACAGTTTATTTGTTCCTGCTGAGATATGTACACGTGCACCTGTACACACTGCCTCACACCCCTCTACAGCTAAGCATGACCCAGAGTACAACATTATCTTCTGCATTTTTTCAGATTCCTGGAAAAATGCTCAAGGGAGGCAGCGCAGATCTGATATATGGATGCCAATTTGTCCCTCTGTCTTAACAACACAGCCAAGGTCTGACCTTCCCCAGCTTCCAGGGGTTTCTGAGTAGAGGAAGGTAAAAAAAAAAAAAATCACCAGACTAGATGAAAAGAGCCCTGAAAATGGAAAAATGTTAATTAATATGTCATATACCTGTAACAAATTTGGATTTTTACTTACCTTTGCTATCTTAAGATATTTGGATGAGGCACTGGGACTATACATGCTTTAAAGAAAGGTGTATACATAGTTGTAAAGGAAGGTGCAGTATCCTTTTCCTAATAAGAGATTTAAATTATTTTTTAATATCTTTTGTGAATCACTACTAAAGAAAGAGGCAACTTCTCAAGCTTTTGGGGAAAAAAAAGGAAACAAAAGAAAAGCCTTTGGATGCCCACAGTAGGTGGCATCAGCTACTGACCTACCTACTAATAAGGCAAATGAAAGGAAAACAGCCTCAGAGGAGCTAAATAGCAGAGAGCCAAAGTCTTGAGGGGAGAACAGGCAAAAGAGGCTTACAGTGTTTAATTCACCCTGACTAAAAAGCTCTGTCAAACCACAAGTTGAAGATGCTACCATTACAACAGGAAAAAATAGTTAATTGCATTATACTCCTTTGACTGGAATTCTGCTGCTTCTGAATTGCTGAACATGGCTGAAAACAGAAAGCCTAATAAGAGTCTTTAAGAAAATAACATATAGCCGGGGAGGAAGCACTAGGGCTAGTCAGGCTTCTGCTTGCTGTTCCAGGAGCTCTGTCCTAGTGAATGATCTATGGGAAATAGCTCTGAAATCAAATTAACTGAGCTGCTCTGGCTTCAAAACCAGCACTTTGTACACTAAATAGAAACATGGGACAGAATAAATTAAACAGAAAAGTCAGAACCATAAATGCCTTCCTGGGCTGCTTTGGAAATGTGCAGTGCTTGTTAGAGTTTCTAAACCTGTTCCTGTCCCTTAAAGCATCCCTGGAATATTTAGAAAACAGATTTCCTTAGAGCCTGAGTACTTTTCCTGCACTCCCTTCTAAGCAAATAGAGGTTTTTAATGTGTCTTTAATAATCATAAACTTTGCTCTTAAGCAGTTCATTATTGCATTTTTTACACTTACTGAATATCAACATCAGGGTTTGATTAATTAATTAATTAATTTAATACTTGGGTTGACATATTTTGATAATTCTATATTATTAAATTTATATGCATATATTTAATATGTACGTAATGTCTGGTGAAAATAGTGTCCTGAAAAGCCTTTTTAGGAACTTTCTTTGACATGTGACGGTTCTGCTACTACTGGTATAACTCTGTATTATTTTTGTTTATTTATTTTTCACTGTTACTTTGACATTTGACTCATTTTACATTTATAATATGCATCATTTGGTTTGCTGTTTAAATATGGAATAATACAGAAAACACAAATAAAATTTTTTTTAAATGTATGTATTTTTGTGTGTTTTATTGGCATCGAGTACAAGAGGATTGAAGCATTGATGTCTCCTTGCAAGTTTCCCAGTTAAAAAAAATAAAAAAACCAAAAGAAAATAAACATCTATATAGAATTCTTGCCTTTTTGTTTGGACAGATTCTTGCAATTTCTTCCCATGGCTTTAGTGACTTGTGGAAATTTCTCATGTAGTCCATACCATCAGCAGGATTCTTTCCTAGATTTCTCACCCTTTTTAATTTGTATCCCCTAGTTACCTGCTCCATCCTTTCCTTCCCCCTCCCTTCTCCAACACTAATAGGCCTGCTGGAATCCACCTTCTAAATGAAATCAGTCAAGTCACCTCAGCTTTGATTGCCTTATTCCCATGCTGTAGAACGAAAGCACTTTGCTGAATCAAAAATGTTCTACATTCAGTTGTCATAAATAAAAATATACAGCAAAGAACTTAAGCTATCAACATAAACAATGCAATATGATAGTGTGCTTCAAACCAGATGTTTCCTTATTTCTGCCCAAACAGTCTGAAGACCCTGTTAAATTGTTTCAAGTTTCTGTTTACAAAGGGTCAAATCAACATTTTTCAATGAAATGTGTCCCTTCTGGTTCCTTAATGATTAAATACAGTGAAACAATAGCGATTTAAAATAGCAAAAGAATACCTGATGATTTTTTGTTGTTAGGATTGCTAAAACAGGAGGAGTTGAAAAGCTTTGTGTGAGGTAAGAGAAAAATGCTCTGACAGCATCTAAGCCACCTCAAAGATTTTGACAATTTGTCAAAAATCATTACACTTTTCAAGTAGCCTTTTTTTGCAGGAGACCCGGGAAAACCAGCAGCATCTTTCCTTTGCTAGGATTAGCAAACACTTTTTTCCACAATACCCCCAAAATATTCTGTCATGCGTC